TTTCTTAATATATTATCTGAGTGTAGAAATTATGCATATAGGTTTCAAGTGATTTTTTATTTTTTTGGGGTTAGAAATTATGCCTTAGGGTTAATAATTAAATGTTGTATTAATTAACTGAATGTTAAATAAGTAAATAAAAAATATAATTTTTCAGCGTGTTAAATAACTGAAATAAATTGATGCATATTTCTGTTTGCTGTTAAATAATTTTTGCAATACAAATATTTTCGCCATTTAAGATAAATCAGTTATTGTTTCCAGCATGTTAATAATTAATCTCTCTGCCTGTAATGAACCGGCATAAATTGTTAAAATTATCCTTAAATATTTCTGTCCGATTAAATCCCGCTTAGTAATTAATTCTTGGTGTTCTGAATATTGTTTTGCCATTTTAAAATAAACCAATGAATCATTTGAGTGTGCTATCACATAATAGTCTAATCTGCTACTGCATAAATAAGCTATTTTCTGCATAATCTGCTACTTTATATTTGTTGTCCTAATTAATTCTGTCCGAAATATTTTAGTTTTTGCATTATGGATAATTGTTTTGCCACCTTTAATCAACTAATAAATAATTCAAGCATGCTTTATTAATAAAATAAATAAATTATGCATCGTGTCATCACCCTTTGTCCATGTTTTATCACAATGTTATGAAGCCTGTTTATGTGTTTGTATGCCCACACACTTAGCATGCGACCTTTTCACCTTACTTGTGTTTGCTAGCATGTTAATAACCTAATCTAGAGGTCAACATGAAATTTATCTGCTAAATGCTCGTCCTATTTGTTTCACTTGGTGTCTACGTGGGCCTAATTAGGAGCCTTTATTTTATTTTTAGTCTAAAACCTCCAATAGTGGTCCAATGCCTCTTGGACCTTAAGCGGGGACGCTAGGCACCCTTTAGAGATGAAAAGCATGCGGTGGTGGGGTAGGGGTAGTTTAGTTCCTACGGATATGATGACATCAACTCAGGCTTAAAGCGACAGTCCTTGGTTTTGTCTGACCCTACACGGAAGCCTATCGAAAAAAAGTCGAGTGTTGATCCGTAAAGTCCTCTAGAGTCTCCCTTTCCTTTTATCCCTTTATTTTTTTATAATTATAATTGTTTGGGGTAGCTTAAATAAAAAATATAAAAATTGTTTGCCTATTTACCTGTGCAATTTCTATCTCCTCGCTTATCTCTTTATTAACTGTTTAATTTTTATTTGTTATTATGTTATCACTTTGTCTTGCATGTTTAACTTATTAATTAAAATAATTAAAGTTCCTTTAATTGTTTAATATTATATCTCCTAGTTTTGCATGCTTAATTAATTAAATAAATTATTGAAGTAACCTTAATTGTTGAATGTCATTTTATCACTTAGTGCGCATGTTTAATTTAAATAACCTAAATAATGAAGTGACCTTAATTGCTACTTGTAAGCCCCACATAAATAGCATGAGATATAGCCGGGACCCACATTTGTGGACCTCGAGGGATGCCTAACACCTTCCCCTCAAGGTAATTTGAATCCTTACCCGATCTTTGGTTCGTTGACCTTAGTTAGATTTAATTAGGCTAGATAGGTGTCTTAACGCGCCTTAATTCGTTAGGTGACGACTCTTACATTATTCCCAAAACCCAAAAGAGTTGTTGGGTCGAAAGTTCATTTTTGCCAAAAAAATTAGGCACGACAATCACATTCCTGCAGCTAACCACAATAGCCCCAAGGGCAACAATAACAATTCAATCGCTAAAAGCGAGCAATTTAGTTGTAAGCAACCTATACAAATAGCCTCTAAGTCGTGTCCAACATAGGGACGCTACTAACTGAATAGGAATCCCAACAAGGAAGGATTATACCAACTCGAGCAGCCAACAATCAATAATAATGGCAACAAGTATAACAAGGATAACAACCCAATTACATTGCTCCTAAGCTTTAAGGAAACATGTCGTAAGTAGGGAATAACTTTAACATACCTTTTTCACTGAATTCATGTGGCCTAACGACTTTACTCACAACCCCCCTCGATACTACAAGAAGGCAGGACCATAATCAACACAAAGAATAGAAGATACCACGATAATCCGATAAAAGATATATATATTTCTGTCGCAAATTGTTATTTGTGACTTATCAAGGCTAGAGTCGATGAAAGAAGGGTCTTACCTTGATTTTAAGTTTGTAATACACCTCAAAACATTAAAATATGTCCAAACCCCTGCTTTCCACACACCAAAGTACGATATGCTAGGATATCGATGAAACAAATTATACCATGTTGACGTGCTCAACGCGTAGAATAACTTTTGTCAAGGACTTAAGTCACGAAAATCTATAACTTGGCTGATTATAGAAGTAGGTTCTGTGAGTTTTCTAGTTATTCACTAAGTAAAGTGAAGGAACAATGAATAAAAGTCGAAGAAGATGATATATATAAAGTTCCACCGACCTAGGGGTCCCACCTAACCTGCTTGCTTACGCAGTCTTGCGAAAAAGCAAATATCTCTCCATTCTTAAGTTGTATGAACAAACGGGTTGATGCGTTGGAAACTAGATTCGTAGAACTTCGATTTCATAGGTCGTGGGTACTATAACTCTTTATATATTGGGAGAAAACCTCCGAGACATTTGACTCAAATTTCAGACAAATCTTTAAAAAAGAATTTACGGTAACTTTCACCAACTTTTATTTTGCCACTTACCTAACTTCTAAACTTGAGATACAACCCTTGAACATTTAAAATATCACATAACACATCATTCTTAATTTATTACCCACCCTCATGGTCTTTCCACGAAGATACGAGTTAATTTAGATGTTTTGAATAGTCGGGGTGTTACATCCTTCCCTCCTTAGAAACATTCGTCCTCGAATGAAAAATCTGAGTCATGAGGTTAAGTCGTTAGGAATTGCCAAAATCTAGGTAGAGTACCCTTTTTTAATGTGACTATCTAGGAACCTGAAACACAGAAATTGTAACCTAGGTGTCTCACAGGATGACATAAATAGCTAAGCACTATAGCTCCGCAATAACAGTACGAGCAAATATAGAACGACAACAACAATAATTGTAAAAAACTATTTATAAAAAAAATCAGATAGGTATCTAACCTCACTTCACTAATATAAACTGATATGCCATCACCCTGGGGTATGAAACAAGTGAGGATATTTGGACCTCATGCCATTCTCAGCTTCCCAGGTCACCTCTTCTCTATTCTTGTTTCTCCACAATACTTTAACCAAAGCCACCGCTTTGGTCCTCAATTTACAGACATGTCGATCTAATATGGCAATTGGAGTTTCCTTGTAGGACAACTCCTCTGTGATCTGAACACCCTCAACTGGGACAACCCGAGAAGGGTCTCCTACGCACTTTCGTAACATCGATACATGGAAGACTGGATGAACAGATTCTAGCCCCGAAGGAAATTCTAGCACATAAGCCACTTTTCCTTCCCCTTCGAAGGATCTAGTAAGCCCCAATGAATCTTGGACTAAGCTTGCCTTTTTTTCCAAATCTCATAACACCCTTCATAGGAGAGACCTTTAAGAGTACCCAGTCATCCACTCAAATTCTAAGTCCCTTTGTCGCACATCTGAGTATGACTTCTGTCGGCTTTGAGTTGTTAGTAACCTCTCTCGAATGAGCTTAACCTACTACACTGTCTGTTGTACTAAGTCGGGTCCAATCAACCCTGACTCACCTACCTCGAACAATCCAATGGGGGATCTACATTTTCTCCCATACAAAGCCTCATAAGGTATCATCTCGTTGCTGGAATGATAACTATTATTGTATGCAAACTCAATAAGAGGCAAGTGGTCATCCCAACTTCCTTTGAAGTCCAGCACACACGCTCGTAACATATCCTCGAGTGTCAAAATTGTGTGCTCAGCCTGGCCATCTGTCTGAGGGTGAAAAGTTGTACTAAGATTAATTTGTGTTCCCAGTCCTCTTTGGAAGGACTTCCAGAAGTTGGAGGTAAATTATGCTCCTCTATCGGAGATAATAGATATTGGGTCACCGTGTAGCCTAACAATCTCTGTAATATAGAGCCCTGCATAGTCTTCGGTCCTAAAAGTAGCACTGACCGGTAAGAAGTGGGTTGATTTTGTTAGTCTATCAACAATTACTCAAATAGAGTCAAATTTGCGACGCGTTCGAGGTAACCCTGTAATAAAATCCATATTAATTGCTTCCTACTTCTACAAAGGTATGGCTATCTCCTGAACTAGCCCAGCGGGATTTTGGTGCTCAACCTTCACCTGTTGGCAGTTAGGACACTATGTCACAAACTCAGCAACGTCCTTCTTCATCCCATGCCACTAATAGATCTCCTTAATATCATAGTACATCTTCGTTGAAACAGGGTGAATAGAATAACGGGAATGATGTGCCTCTTCCATAATGCGATGTTGAAGCCCTGCAACATTCGAAACATACAATCGACCACTATATCTGAGGACTCCATCTCCTGCTATATCAAATGCTAAAGACTGATGATGATGGGACTTGGCTCAGAGAGGCTCTAAGCTAGGATCCTCTAGTTGCCATGATTTTCCCTCCACAACTAGAGATGATACGGTTGTGTCCTGAATTGTGACCCAACTATCGCCTGCCTTTAACAATCTGACTCCCAAGATAGCTAACTAATGAAGATCTCACACTAGCTCCCACTTCTCAACACCTAAATAAGATAAACTACCCATAGATCTTCGACTGAGGGCATTCGCTACCACATTTGCCTTTCCTGGATGATATAAAATATCCACGTCGTAGCCTTTTAGTAATTCAAGCCATTGACGTTGTCGCAGATTTATCTCATTCTATCTAAAGATATATTGAAGACTTTTATTATTTGTGAAAATGTCAACATGAACGCCATACAAATAGTGTCTCCAGATCTTTAACGCAGGCACAACTACAGCCAACTCTAAATCGTGGGTCGAATAGTTCTTCTCATGCTTCCTCAACTGCCTTGAAACATATGCGATAACCTTACCATTTGCATTAGAATACACCCCAACCCAACACCAGAGGCATCACAATACACCGCATAGCCCTCTAAACCCTCTGGCAATGCTTGAACTTGTGCTTATGTCAACCTGTCCTTCAGTTCCTAGAAACTATGCTTGCAAACCTTAGTCCACTGAAACTTAGCCATTTTTTAGTCAACTTCGTTAATGGTGCTGAAGGTGAAGAAAACCCCCTACAAACCTTCTGTAGTACCCAGCTAATCCTACGAAACTACGAACCTCAGTCGCAGTCATGGGTCTGGGCCAAGTCTTTACGGCCTCAATCTTTTGTGTATCAACCATAATGCCGGAATCTGATATGATATGGCATAGGAAAGCCACAGAGCTCAACTAGAACTCACACTTAGAGAACTTTGTGTAAAGTTCCTGCTCTCAAAGAACCTGAAGGACTTCTCGCAAGTGATTTGCATGCTCAACTTTTGAATGCGAATAGACCAAAATATCATCAATAAATACAATCAGAAATGCATCTAGATACAGCCTGAATATGCTATTCATCAGGTCTATGAACACTGATGGGGCATTACTTAATCCAAATGACATTACCAAGAACTCAAAGTGTCCATATTTGGTTCTAAAAGATGTCTTTGGAACATCTTTCTCCCGAACTCCTATCTGGTGGTACCCTGATTTTAAATCAATCTTTGAGAAGCACTCAACACCTTGTAACTGATCAAACAAGTCATCGATCCTCGAAAGGGGATACTTATTCTTTATAGTCGCCTTATTCGGTTGTCGGTAATCAATACACATTCTTAGTGAGCCATATTTCTTCCTCATGAATAACACTGGCGCACCCCATGGTGAAACACTAGGCCTGATAAAGCCTTTATCCAACAAGTCTTTCAGCTGATCCTTCGACTCTTTTAGCTCAGCAAGAGCCATTCTATAAGGAGGGATAGATATGGGTTGTGTACCTGGTAGCATATCTATAGCAAAATCAATTTCCCGTTCTAGAGGGATACTAGGGAGCTCGTCTGGAAATATATATAGAAACTCATTAACTACCGAAATAGACTGAAGAGTGTGTGGTTCTGCATCTATATCATGAACGCAAACAAGATGATAAATACAACCCTTAGTAATCATCATTTTCACCTTAAGATAGGAAATAAACCTACCATTCGGTGTTGTTGTATCGCCATTCAATTCCCAAACTGCCCCTCCTGGATAGTGGAATCTAACAATCTTTGTCTTGCACTCAACATTAGCATAACAAGACGCTAACCAGTCCATACCCATAATAACGTCGAAATCGACCATTTCTAACTCTACGATGTCTACAGAGGTCTGACGATCGATAATTTTTACCGTGCAACCTCAATAGACTCTCCTGGAAATAATAGACTCACCAACTAGTGTAGATATAGTAAAGGGTTAATCTAATGACTCTGCTACTATACATAACTTCCCCGCGATAAATGGAGTAACATAAGACATAATAGATCCAGGATCTATCAAAGCATAAACACAATGGCAGTAAACAATCAATGTACATGTCACAACATCTAGTGATGACTCTGAGTCTTGTCGGCCGACTAGTGAATATATACGATTCTAGCCACTACCAAAACTAGATGTTCCCTCTCTGCCTCCACATCTACCTCTACCTGCTGGAGTCTGGGGTCCACGCCCTGTAGACTATGTTGATGAGAAGGAACCTACTGACCTATACCACCCTGACTTATGGTTGGGCAGTTTCTCCACCCCTGCCCCTCCTGTCCACAATAATAACAACATGTGGAACCCTGCATGCACCTCCCAAAATGCATCCTATCGCAAGTAGCGCAACGCGGAGGGGTTGTCCTACACTGGACTAAACCCCTCTGATGCTGAGAGCCTGATGCTCGTGAACCCTCACCTGGGCCTGACTGTCCCTGATGATCAAATCTACTACCCTGGAACTGCTGTGGTGGTGATCTAGGTGGCCTAATAGAATATCAGGGTCTGGGACCAACTTGAAAATCTCCCTGTGACACAACAGGCCTAGCCCTCTTCTATCTCTCTCTCTTGACCTTCTCACTCATATACTGTAGATGTCGACAATCCTCTATTCCTTGTGCAAAGGCCTAAATTAGTGAGATATCCATATTATGATTTAGTGTAGTGGTACAATAATCGTCCATATAGTCTGAGTCAAGCCCTCCCATAAATCTGTGCACCCTGTCATTCATCGTATCAACAACTGTTGGTGCATATCTAGGTAATGAATCAAATATCAGCCCGTACTCTCGGACACTCATGCTATCTGTCGGAGGTTCAAAAATTGGTCTACCCGGCCATCCCTAATCTCTCGAGGCAAATAATGATCTATGAAAGCTTCTGTAAAGCTATCCCAAGTGGGTAGAGCTACATCTTTTCCCCTAGATCTCTCCCAACTTTCATACCACAATACTGCACCATCGCGCAATCGAAATGCTGCTAACACAACTGACTTAGTCGTTGAGTCGTGCATGACTCTAAAGATCCTATGAAGCTGATCAACAAATTGCTGAGGGTCCTCTCTGCCATCTGTCTCTGTAAACTGTGGATGATTCAAGGCAAGAAATTCACGAACTCTTGAAATTTCGTGCCCTTCAGAAGGTCCGGCTACATCTGACGCAACTGACTGGCCTTGTGCAGCTACTGAATGTGCTAACATACATACTACACTGTTGATATCCTGGTCAGATGGAATAGGAGGAACTAGAGGTGGTACTGTTGGTGGAGCTGGGGGTCATGTAGCCCTCGGAGGCTCCTGAAGCGGTAGAGAACCTATAGGGGGCTGAGAAGATGTCCCCCCTGGGTCTCACAATGGGCTACCTCCACCTGTGGTACCTTGTCGGTACCTCGCCTAGAGCTGTATCTAGTCCTTGGCTAGTTGTGGTCTATCTGGTGTCAGCCATCTCTATTTACATACAAATATCAATTATAAGCCAGAAACCTCAACACTTAAGATACTGCTCTACAGCACGAGGTGAGCAAAAGAAGGATAGCCATTCTAACATGCCCGATAGCTTCTTGCTTATCGAATGTGGTGCATAACATATTTATAAACAAGACTCTACTAGACACGGCTTGCAGACTCCCTAGGATACGACATTGCTTTGATACCAAGTTTGTCACGCCTCAAACTCAAGGGGAGCAACTGGCTCCTAATGCCAAAACTAAGGCCTGAGCCGACCCTACTGAACCATTTACTAGTAAAGCATGACAGCCACACGCAATCAAAAAAATAAACAAGTATATCTTGGCTTAAAACTAAGCCCTCGGCCAACAAGGCCCCTGTCAACATATCTATAAATGAAACAGCTACTAGCACAGAAGTAGTGATTGGGCCGTGGAGCCCACCATGATCTCCATACCAAAACTGAAAGCATGTATAAATCAAGACAATACATCAAACAACTCACAAGCTTCAACAAGCAAACAAACTAGGCCAGCATGGCCATAACGTAGCTCCACACCCCACTCACTAGTCTGCAAGCCTTTAAGAGTAGTAAAGTTTGGCGGGACAGGGCCCCAACATACCCATAAAAATATATACAACAAAAACTAACAAACCTCCAAACTTTGGCAGCTCTGGAAAAAAAAGGGCTAGCCAACCAGATAATAGTCAATCCTGCTACAGAGGAGGTCTACTGGGTCGTCTGTCGAGACTTGCATGCACGAATGCAGCGCCCCCAGGAAATGGGACGTCAGTACGAAATAATATACAGAGTATGAAAGGCAATAGACTATGAGCAGGTATCCTAATATAGATCAATAATAGACTGGATAATCCGATAAATAGATCAAGGATAAGATAAGTGTATTGACATGCTTCTCAATCTTAACATATCAAAAATAATAAAACAACAACCTGACCAAGCCCACATAAGCTCGGCGGGTACAAACAGCACACAAGGCCACCTATTCAGGCCCCTATAATTCTGAAAGGTGCCAATCAGTCTATATACCCCAATCGGTAGTCCCCTAGTCTCGTAGGCAGTTACATATCCCTCTTAGGCATTAATAAAGCCTCGTAGGTAGCACATAGCTCTCTTAGGCATCAACATAGCTTATAGACAACTCATAGCCCTCTTAGGCAACAACATGGCCCTGTAAGAAGCACATAGCCTTCTTAGGCGTCAATATAGCCATGTAGGCAACTCATAGACATTGTAGGCATCAATATATCCCCATAGGCAACTCATAGCCCTCTTAGGCATCCATATGGCCCTGTAGGCAGAACTTAGTCCTTCTAGGCATAGATCACATTCCTGTAGCTAACCACAATAGCCCCAAGGGCAACAATAACAATCCAATTGCTAAAAGCGAGCAATCTAGTTATAAGAAACCTATACAAATATCCTCTAAGTCGTGTCCAACATAGGGACGCTACTAACTAAATAGGAATCCCGACAAGGGAGGATTATATCAACTCGAGCAGCCAACAATCAACAATAATGGCTATAAGTATAACAAGAATAACAACCCAATTACATTGCTCCTAAGTTTTAAGGAAACATGTCGTAAGTAGGGAATAGCTTTAACATACTTTTTTCGCTGAATTCACATGGCGTTACAACTTTACTCACAACTCCACTCGATACTACAACAAGGTAGGACCATAATCAACACAAAAGAATAGAAGATACCACGATAATCCAATAAAAGATATATATATTTCTGTCGCAAATTGTTATTTGTGACTTATCAAAGCTAGAGTCAATGAAAGAAGGGTCTTACCTTGATTTTATGTTCTTAATACACCTCAAAACATTAAAATATTCCCAAACACCTGCTGTCCACACACCAAAGTATGATATGCTAGGTTATAGATAAAACAAATTATACCATGTTGATGTGCTCAACGCGTATAATAACTTTTGTCAAGGACTTAAGTCACGACAATCTGTAACTTGGCTGATTATAGAAGTGGGTTTTGTGAATTTTCTGGTTATTCACTAAGAAAAATGGAGGAAAATGAGGAAAAGTCGAAGAAGATGATATATATAAAGTTCCACCGACCTAGGGGACCCATCTCACCTGCCTGCTTGCGCAGTCTTTCAAAAACGCAAATATCTCTCCATTCTAAAGACGTATATATGAACGGGCTGATGCGTTGGAAACTAGACTTGTAGACCTTCGATTTCATATGTTGTGGGCACCATAACTCTTTATAAATTGGCATAAAACCTCTGAGACAGTAGACCCAATTTTCAGACAAATCTTTATAAAGGAATTTACAGTAACTTTTGCCAACTTTTATTTTGCCACTTACCTAACTTCAAAACTTGAGATGAAAACCTTGAACACCTGAAATATCACATAGCACATCATTCTTAATTTATTACCCACCCTCCTGATCTTTCCACGAAGATACGAGTGAAGTTAGACGTTTTAAAATGTTGGGGTGTTACATTACCCCCACAATAATGTTAATGAACTGTGGTTTCTTAAAGGTGTACTACTTAGTGTGGGTGGTGGAATGGGACACCATCTATACATTGCACAAGTAGGCATTTGAGAGGAATCATAGTGTGTTCTTTATAATGTTAATGTAATGAATGGACTCTTGTGATCATGATAATGAAGAGTGTTGGTCTTGTGGCTAATGAATGAAGGTGTTCTTAATGAAGTAATGAATGGTGACTTAAAGTGCTTATATGTGTAATGTAAAGATGTATGATATACTTGGATTGTTGATGTGAGTACTTCTTTGTTATGACTTGTTGAATGTGAATGTGCCTAGTTTAGGGTGACTTCAAAGGAGCTCTTAGTGTGAGTAGTAGTATGGGATGCTACCTGCACATTTTACAAGGGTGACTTAGAGTTATCTTAGGTGAGGGTTCTTAGGTGATGGTTCTTATGTGATAATTATGTCTTATATATAATGTTTATGTGTCTTTATGAATTGTCTTGTTGAAGTTGGAAAGGTTTCATGGGATTTCACCTTTGGT